GACCTCTGTTTTGTCATACGCATATTTTGCTAAAGACGCTCGAGCGGGATGTTGGGCGCTCGAGCGGACCGCGCGAACACAGTTTTCCGGATTTCAATAAGGATTGGGTTTTCTTCCAAATCTAGGATTACTTTTGGTTTTCTATAAGTAGTTGGTTTTCTCCCAATACTTGGATAACTACTCCAGATCTTCTTTTTGGGTTCTAGGATTTATATCTGGGGATACTTTGTGAGTCTTCTTTGATGTTTTGATTGAGTATTCAACTGATGGTTTAAATAGTATACATCAAAGGTTTTGTTTGTTCTACAAAGGAGAGAGTTGTTCTTCGGTGGATTCTAAAGAATTCGAGTCTGAAGCTTTGGTGGATTCCGGGGTGGCTCATCGTAAAGACAATTTCGAGGTGAAGACAGGTTGGAAGAGGCACATAGAGGTTGGTTCAATTAGGCGTGGATTCGCTAAATAATTGAGAGTATACCTGTGTAATTCCTTTATATCTTCTTAGTGGATTGTTTTGTGGCTGTTGTCCGTGATTTTTTTTATTACAATTGGAGGTGTCCAATTGTGATTTTTTTACGTAAAATCGTTGTGTTGTTTTGTCTTGATTGTTTGATTGGGATTGTTATATATTGCTTAAAATTGATACATAATCACAAATCAATATCTAGAGGATTTCTAGATTTTTCAACAATTGAGGGTATTTGGTGTCTCTAGAAATCCTCTAGATATTGATTTGTGATTATGTAACAATTTTAAGCAGTATATAATAATCCCAATCAAACAATCAGGACAAATCAACACAACGATTTTAACGTGAAAAAACCACAATTGGACACCTTTGAGTTCTTTCTCTTTCTTGATCATTAGTTCTTCCAAAGCAACTAGAGACATCTCGAGAGTTTCAATTTTTTCTTCATATGTTGCATAGATTTACTGAAGCTCATTCCTCTCTGTCTCACAAGTCAAGAGTTTTGCACAAAGGGCTTGTCAATCATTAGCTATCTTGATGGCATCAAGCCTAGCCTCGGAAATCTCCTCATTCAGTTTGACATTCTCACTTTCACATGCTTTGAGTTTCTTTGTGAGTTTGTCATTCAATTTGAATAAGTTAAGAGACCCCTTATACAACTTTTCATAAGTTTGCTCAAGCTCTTCATGATCACTCTCCGATGATTCATCATCAGTGGTATTCTCAACTGACCTCTTCGAAGACTCTGTATGTCCTTCAGTTTCAGAAGCCGCCATGAAAGCAAGGAATTGTTTATACCCCTCTTCGCCTTGATCTTCGTTGTCACTTTCATCTTCATCAGATTCTGATTCATCATCCCAAGTGATGGCGAGGGCTTTTTTCTTCCTCAAACGAGTGGGGCATTTTGAAGCAAAGTGGCCAAATCCTTGGCATTCATAGCATTGGAGTCTTTCAGAGTTCCCTTGTATCTTTCCTTTCTCCTTCTTGGCTATAGAGTTAATTTTGAGTTTATCTTTGCCTTTAGATTTATGAGAATGAGTAGATTCCAAAAGATTATGATTCTTTTTCAAAAAAGATTTTTTAAATTGTTTAACAAAAGCAGCCGTAATCTTGGAATCTATCTCACAATCCTCATCAGAATCCTCTACCACTTTATAAGCACTACTATAAGCAATAGTATCTTTTTGTTTCTTTTTGAAATTCCTGTGTGCCTCATAAGTTTGGAGATTTCCAACCAACTGATCTAGCTTGAGGTTGTCAACATCTTGAGCCTCCTCAATTGTTGAAAAATCTAGAAATTCCTTAGATGTTGATTTGTGATTATGTATCAATTTTAAGCAATATATAACAATCCTAATCAAACAATCAAGGCAAAACAACACAACGATTTTACGTGAAAAAATCACAATTGGACACCTCCAATTGTGATAAAAAAATCATAGGCAACAGCCACAAAACAATCCACTAAGAAGATATAAAGGAATTACACTTGTATACTCTCAATTACCTAGCGAATCCACGCCTAATTGAACCAACCTCTATGTGCCTCTTTCAACCCGTCTTCACATCGGAATTGTCTTTACGATGAGCCATCCTGAAATCTACCAAAGTTTCAGGCTCGAATTCTTCAGAATCCACCGAAGAACAACTCTCTCTTTTGTAGAACAAACAAAACCTTTGATGCATACTTTTTAAATCATGAGTTGAATACTTAATCAAAACATCAAAGAAGACTCACAAAGTATCCCCAGATATAAACCCTAGAACCCAAAAAGAAGATCTGGAATAGTTATCCAAGTATTGGGAGAAAACCAATTACTTATAGAAAACCAAAAGTAATCCTAGATTTGGGAGAAAACCCAATCCTTATTGAAATCCAGAAAACTGTGTTCACGTGGTCCGCTTGAGCGCCCAACATCCCGCTCGAGCGTCTTCAACAAAATATGCGTGTGACAAAACAGAGGTTCGCTCGAGCGCTAGAGAACCCGCTCGAGCGCGAAATCACACATCTCAGTATTTTTATAGGCGTCCAAAACTGCTGGAACCAGGGATTCTTCGCTCGAGCAGGGTCATGTCCGCTCGAGCGGACAGGCAACTTGGAATGCATTTTTGCATTTTGCTTCTGGGGCGCTGCCCCTCGACCCCACCGTGGCGCTGCCCCGGACCCGCCAAGGGGCGCTGCCTCCTGGACCCCCGCGAGCTGACCGGGCAGCTCGATCCCCGTCATAATCAGCGAAGTGGCAATCTTGAAAGCTTTATCATCACAAACTTCTCTGAAAGGCACAATTCAGGTTGGATTCGCATCTAAACACTCATAGCCTCACTGAAATAAAAGTGCGAAAATAAATACAACTGAAAGGAGTTTTGTCAAACGGGATTGCCAAGAATAAAACCTAATAGTTAATTTCACTTTATATTTTCATAAAATCAAGTTCGCTCTACAAAATAATGAGTGTGATATACCTTTTATTAGTTTAGACGGAAAAACTAATAGTATCTCTTTAGTCCAAAACTATATGGAGATTACGTGAGTGTTTTGTTTGAAGCCACCCAATGAGGGCGTTCTGAATGTTTCGTTCTGCCGTGAACGTTATGTGTGGTATTCCGACAAGTTTTGATAAGGCAATTGGGTACAACGAATTGTGGAAAGATTTGATGATTCATATTAGTTATTATATGTTTCCGAAGTATGCTTTAATTATGTGAAGGAAGTTATATTGTTTTGTTAAGTTATGGATCTCATTTATTTAACCTCTTTACATCGAGATTATTCACTGGGCTCCAGCTCACTGTATTATTTATGTATGTAGGTGATCAGGCGCGTGACCAAGTCTAGAACTTCTGCTTGGACTCTGTCCTGCCAACCAACCTATGTGCCTCCCGTAGAGGTTCCGAATATGTCAAATGGTCAAAGCCATGTGATTAAAGTTTAAATTTCGTTTATTCTATATTTAGGGATAAGTCCCTTTTTGTTAAGTCGATATATATGATCATGTGATATATATGTATATTCAAAAAAAACACCCATTCGGCCATAGGTGATTTTTTTTTTTTTTTTTGTCTCATGTAAGTCTGCACAGCTCAATGGACATTGTATATATATATATATATATATATATATTTTTTTTTTGCTTCTGCTAGCCCCTAATAATTTGTTTTCTATTTAAGAGGCCTTCGGTAATCTACATATTACTGGCTGGTTACGATACTAAACCCATGGGGGCGGGTTTGAGTCGTGATAAGTAGGGATTTTTCACACATTCTTATGGTTTTTAACAAAGTTATTGGTAGTTGTGTAACTATGGTGGGCTTTGGATGTATTATGGACAAACCTAGGGTTTGGGTGTGAAATAAAAAAGGGGGGGTTTTCATGTGTATGTTGTGAAAATGGTTATGAGGTTAAATATAAGGTTGTATGATGGCAAAATGGTTGATTTTGGCACTTGGAGTGATATTTGGGAAAAAAGGGAGTTTGCCTTAGAATGATCCCAATAGTTATTTTGTATGAATGAATGAATGGAATTGGTATTGTGAATTTGAAATTGATTGGACACATAGATAAATGTTGAAACTAAATATGTATTATCTCTCACCTGTAGAATTTTGAATAATTTATTTGTCCTGAGATTGAATATCTATTTAGAAATATCTGTATTGAGCTATCGGTGGAAGATAGTTATGATTGTTATAGAAGTTGCATAAGAATTAGGCGAATTGTCATAAAGGAGACTTTATAGCTATATTTGAATTATAAATGGGTAAAACACTCCAGTCTTAAATCATAGAGGTAATATGAATTTTGCTTATGTTTTTAAATTTGTAAATGATTTCAGACCCAACAAATGAATATGTTCAAAAAAACTAATATTAAAAAAAAAAAGAGTTTGGTTATTTATAATTTATATTTAAACTAATATTTAACTCAACTAATATTTTTTTTAACAAATATTTTTTTATTTTAAATTGATTTTTTCAATTGAGTTGTGACCAATAGTTTTTACTCATAAATTTTGAATGTTTAAAAGACCTTACAAATAGAATTTTATTTAAAACAAAAATTGATGGTTAGTTTGGGAATAGACTATTTTAGTAATTTTTTGACTAAAATATAAGATGAAAAATTAGTATGTTTGGAATGATTTTTAAATTTTTACAAAATAAAATTAAAAAATGGAGAGAGAATAAAATCTTTTACTTTTGTATCTTTGGCTTTTTAATATTTTTAGTGATTTTTTTTTTGAATTTTTAACTATCTTTTTGTTTCAAAAATAAATAAAATAAATGATCAATAAAAAATATATCTAATTATATCACTCACTCATTTTGAATTATACATTTTTGTAATGGGCATCATTTGCGCGCACCACATCCACTAGTTTTAGAGCAAGGATCTTCTAGAGTGATTTTTTTCTAAAGTTTGTGGTTGAGATTTACTGGCAAGTCACATCAATTTTTCTGATGTGACTTGCCAATAAATCTCAACCACACAATATAACACTCTAAGAAACTTTAAAAAAATTTCACTCTAGAGGATCTTTGGAGCTAGTTTTAAACCAAAAGATCGAAGCTGAAGCTGAGAGAGAGAGAGAGAGAGAGAGAGAGAAAAGCTATGGATAGAAGGCTTTATGAAGCATCCCTAAGTGGGAGTGTCGCAGATTTAGAAAATTTGGAGGGAGAAGATCCACTGATCCTGGACAGAGTCTCTCTCACCTGCTTCGACCAAACTCCGTTGCACATAGCAGCATGGCGAGGTCACTCCGATTTCACCAGAGCGCTTCTGAGTCGAAAACCCAGACTCGCTTCCGAGCTCAACTCGGCTCGGTGCTCGCCTCTCCACTTGGCTTCCGCCGAGGGCCACCACGAGATCGTACAACACTTGTTGGATGTGAACGACGACGTTTGCGAGGTTCACGACGAAGATGGTAGAACCCCACTCCACTTGGCAGCCATGAAAGGCCGAGTCGAGGTCATAGAAATGTTAACTCGGGCTCGGCCTGAGTCAATTCGTCAGAAACTCGGCAGAGGAGGAGAGACTGTTCTGCACATGTGTGTGAAGTACAACCGTTTGGAGGCTTTGAAGACTTTGGTTGACGAATTCCAAAACGACGCCGGGTTTGTGAATTCTGAAGACCAAGATGGTAACACCATCTTGCATCTTGCTGCAGCTCTCAAACAACTAGACGTAAGTGTATCGATATATCCATATCTATATCGATATATACATATAATATACATTGATGCTCAAAAGGTTTCATGGCTAACTCTTTTTTTTTATATATAAAATAAGGTAAATTACACCGATTTTTCCTGCATTTTGCTCTTTATGTCACTTTTAATTAGCTCAGTCTGATCATAAATTTTAGGATAAATTACACTGATAATTTTTATATTTTTGGCCATTTTGCATTAGATACTGATTCACATACAAATTAATTTTGAATCCTTTGGCAATGCCAAAAAAAAAAAAAAAAAAAAAAAAAAAAGGGTTCGCTGCCTTGTTTGTGACGAAATCAAACAGATGATTTATCGATGAAGAAGTTCACCCTTTCGATTCTGAAGTAGATCTGGAAAATTCAAGTTACTTCACTTCGGGTGTTTTTAGCAGATTTGACCAAAGACATAAAAACACCAGTTCTAAAAATCTTAAAAGTTTCATGAATCTCAATATAGAATATGGGTCAAATTTGTAAGCAATGAATCAATCATCCAACAATAAAACAACAAAAAAAAAAACATGAGTTTTTTAAGTAAGACACCAACAAATCAAGTTCTGTTTATGAGCTAAAGTTTATCGTGATCAACTTCTAAATATCCACAAAAACTTAGGCCTCGTTTGGGATGCTACCTTTTTAGTCAATTAGCCAAAAAGTTACTAAATTAACCAATTAGCTAATTAGTCATACCAAAAAGTCAACAATTACGGCTTTTCTCTACTTTTTGCACAGCTTTTCGTAATTAGTCAAAAAGTCAATCCCAAACATACAAGTTTTTTTTACCTACCTTTTTAGCCAATTAGTCAAAAAGTTACTAAATTAGCCTGTTCCCAAACGAGGCCTTAGTATGACAATCTAGCCATTTCGATGTGAAAATTTAAAAACCTTTGAAATATTAATTTGTAATTATGATTCAATTTTAAACAATGAATAATAATCTTAATCAAATAATCAACAATAAATCGACACAACGATTTACGCTGTGTTTGGTTGAGGGATTTAGAAAGGAAAAGGAAAAATGTGTGTGAAACTAGGTGAAATATAAGTATGTTTTATTAACATTTCACCTACTTTTTTTCATTTTTCTTTCCAAATCCCTTCTCAAATCCCCCAACCAAACACAACATTAATGTAAAAAAATCACAATTTGACTCCTCCAATTGTGATAGAAAAAACTATGGGCCAAAGTCACAAAAAATCTACTAAGAAGACAAAAAGAAATTACATACGAGATCCCTCAATTACCTAGCAAATCAACACCCAAATTGAACCAAACCCGATGTGCCTCTTCCACCACCGTCTTCACCTCGGAATTGTTTTGTCTAATATTGAATCCACAACACTGATGTCGAATTCACGACGATAAGCCACTCCGAAATCTACCAAAGTTTCAGGCTTAAGTTTTTCGGAATCCACCAATGAACACCTCTCTCTTTGTGTGAATAAAAGAACAAAACTAACACTTGATGTTTGTTAATATGTAATTTGTTGATTAATCAATCACTATACATCAAGGAAACTTATATATAAACACTCTCCAACATAGAACACTTTGTTTTTTACTCCTATTTGAGAATCTGGATGGGTTCAACCTTAAAAATAAGAAACGGTGTATTTTATACTAAACAGAGCTGCTAAGACTACTCGAGTGCTCAATTTACCGCTCAAACGATGTGACTAAATGCGGTGCTCACATATAGGCCAGCCGCTCAAGCATATCATCTGCCGCTCGAGCTGTAAAACATGTTTTTCAAAAACTCCTCATGCTTAGTCAACGAAGTGACAAATAAAGAATGTTCAAGTCAATATACGAAATGTCAGCACAAACTTCTCTATATAGGCACAATTAGAGTTTGATTCGCATCTAAACTCTCATAACTCATAAATGTAATAGAGCGAATAAAAATGCAACTCAATAGAATTTTATCTAATGAAATTGTTAATTATAAAAATCTAATAAGATGGAACAGAGTAGGCACAACACTACTTAATAAATTCTAGTGTAACAGCCCTACAACTTTAATACATGTAATTAAATGATGATATCAATGCCAATAACATGAAAAGAAAAGAAACATGAATTTCCAGTAGCAATAATAAACTCAAATTTATTGACACAAGATAATTTACATGTAAGGAACAAAATGGTACAATGAAATATGTAGAGATTACACGTATAATTTATCCTATAATATTTGACAACCATTGATACACAAAGATAAAAATAAAAAGAGGTATAAGAACTTCTAGTCAAAATAAAAATAAAAATAAATGTATAGAGTAAAAGAAATTGTAATAAATGTTAGTAGTCAGAAGTTAGTAATCAATAGTCTTTATTTGTCCTCTAAGTTATATGTCTAGCACACAAGTGTCCAGCAAAGGTAAATAATCCACAAATTATATGTTCAGTATGGGTATCTCCTTTCTGTATCATAATATCAATTTTGTTTTTTTTTTAAGTTGTTTTTTTTCAAGTTTATATTTTTCCTACAAAAAGAAGCTAAACTCAATTTATTTTTTTATTATTTTTTTGCTTTATAAATAAATCTCTAAATTAAATATTCTATTTTAATTAAAAAAAAAACAAAATAAAATAAATATATTAAGATTTCAAATCTACCACTAACCTCATAATTGGAAGTAATTGTACTTAGTCTTTAGAAAATCATTGATTTGGATACTATGATGTAAGTTGATCAGAAATACATCGTCAAGAGAATTTATATATCAAAACTAGAAAGCCACGAATCATCTTCGCTTAGCACAGACTGTCGCCACTAAATTACGGTTTGATGCACAACTCGTCTTATCAGATATGACTCGTCTAACAATTCTAATATAATTCTAATATACAATAGTGAAAATCATTGTATAACATGATTTGAATAAAATATTTATTGCACAAAAATATCTAAAAGTCATACAATTGTATCCAAATCAAATCAAAACTAAAAATATTAAATACAACTTACCCTAATTATTTGGTTAGGGTTTCTTCTCTATCTTAAGATAGAAAAATAATTTCACACACTAATATTTACAAACTAAACACTATCACTTTCCCTTTCTTTCTATTTTTCTCTCTTTCTCTCTTCCTCCCATGGGCCGAAGCCATCTGCTCCGCTGAGCTCCCTCTCTCCCCCTTTCCTTTCTTCCCTTCTTTTTCTTCTTTTATAACATTCAAAATGCAAAAGAAATTTTTTTTTATAAATAAATCTCTAAATTAAATATTCTATTTTAATTAAACAAAATTAAACTAATTAATTAAAAATAAATATCTTAAGATTTCAAATCTACCCCTAACCTCATAATTGGGAGTAATTTTACTTAACCTTTTGAAAATCATTGATTTGGATACTGTAATATAAGTTGATCAGAAATTTATCATCACGAGAATTTGTATAGCAAAGCTAGAAAATCACGAATCATCTTCGCTTAGCATGGACTCTTACCACTAAACTATGATTTGATGCATGACTCGTCTTATTAGGTATGACTCATCTAACAATTTTAATATACAACAGTGAAAATCATTGTATAACATGATTTGAATAAAACACTTATTGCACACAAATATGTAAAAGTTATTCAATTGTATCCACACTATTAGTCTCCAAAGGTCACTTTTTTAGTCGCCAAAACCAATTAGCGACTAAAAAATTACACTCTGCTCTTGTGGGGATTCGAACCATCAACCTCCCACACTATAAACCTTACACAACACCCTCTTTCCACTACACCTCCATAACACCATATTATTATATATGCAACATATATTATTTATATAGTACATAGACCCGTATTAATATAAAAGTATATATATAAAGATAATTATTTTTTATTGAACATAATTTATGTAAAAATAAATTATTTATTAGGGAAAAAAAAGAGACCACTTTTGGCCAATTCTATACTTTTGGCTACTGATAATTTTTTAGTCGTTAAAAATAAAATTCTCGCGCTAAAATTACTACTTTTGGCGACTAAACTTCTTTTTAGTCGCCGAATGCCTCACTTTTGGCTAATAAATTTTTTTTAGTCGCCAAAGGGCCTAACTTTTGGCTGCCAAAATTTTTTCAGTTAGTAAAAGCCTCATTTTTGGCGACCAAACATCAATTTAGTCGCCGAATGCCTCACTTTTGGCTACTAATTTTTTTTTAGTTGCCAAAGGGCCTAACTTTTGGCTACTAAAATTTTTTTAGTCAGTAAAAGCCATATATCGGCAACCAAACAGATTTTTAATTGCCAATTACTATACTTTTGGCTACTAAATTTTTTTAGTCGCCAAAAATCTTTACTTTTGGCTATTAATGCTTTTTTAGTCACCAAAAGCTATACTTTCAGCGACCAAATTTTTTTTAGTCGGGAAATTTGGTCGCCAAATGTGCTTTTTCCTGTAGTGCCACATCAAATCAAAACTAAAAATATTAAATACACCTTATTAATTATTTGATTAGGGTTTCATCTCTATCCTAAGAGAGAAAAATAATTTCATACACTAATATTTACAAACTAAATACTCTCACTTTCAATTTTTTTTTTTATTTTTCTCTCTTCTTTCTTCCTCCCATGGCCGAAGCCCTCTGCTCCGCAAAGCTCCCTCTCTCCCCCTTCTCCTTTCTTTTCTTCTCTTCTTCTTCTTCTTCTTCTTCTTCTTCTTTTATAACATTCAAAATGCAAAAAAAAAAAAAAGAAAAGAAAATATAATAATATAATATTTTATTATATATATATAATTTGAGTGATGTTGCAGATTGGACTTGTTCTATGGTGCCAACTTAGCTGGGATCATATTACCTCGCTATAATGCTTATGCATCCATCCTTTTTATTGATGTATGGTATAATTCATTACTCATCGATAAAATTCCTATTTTGTTGATAAAAAAAAAAATAATATATTTTGTTGATAAAAAAAATAATAATAACTTGAGTGATTGAGGGGTGTGAGAGACGTGGCTGTCTCTTTTTCGCTTTCTTGCTTTTCTCTTTCGCTTCCTTTGCTTTCAGCTGACGCTCCTTTGTTTGTTTGTTTATTTGTTTTTGTTTTTTTTTTCATTTTATTTTTATTATTTATATAACATAATATAATATAAAATATATTATTTATACAAATTAATGTACAAATATTAAAATATATATAAACATACAAAAATCACACAAAATTATAAAATGATACAAATTAATAGATTAATAAAATTTATATTAGTGGGCCAAATGTGTAACATTTAGGATCCAATCAGAGGCAATTTATATGTTAAGTAAATCTCAGAAAGTATATTTATAATTTACCCTTTAAAATATGAGTAGTGCTACTCTAACTCTTGTTTTCATATATTAATTCTTTAATCATTAATCAATTACATCTTTAATACATCACTAAACCTAAGAAGTGGACTTATATATTATTTTTCTTAAAATATAAATTGTGGTGATTCCGCCACAATCACAATTAACAATTACTGATGTATGTTATATGTACTCAGGAGTCTCATTTCCTCTTTCACTTCTTACTCTTTTGATTTGCTTCAATTTTGAGTTCTTTCTTTCTGTCAAAATTCCCAACGATGATGCTTGGATTGCAGACCATAAAATACTTGTTAAAATTAACAAGTGTCAAAGAACAAGCCAAGACCGAGAACAAGAATGGTTTTACAGCTTTAGATATTGTGGAGTTGTCCCCTATCAAAGACTTAAAAACAATGGAAATTCAACAGTTTCTTGTAGAAGCTGGTGTTCCAAGTTTTAGAAGAGCGCCGAATATCAAGGAAGAGATTAGGACATCATCCTCGTCGGCTAATCATCAGCCCGAAAATCTATTCATAAGATTATGGGAAAAAATGTCAAGTTTTTGGAATAAGTATTTTAAGCCCGAGCGAGGTTGGTTCAAAGAAGTCCGTGTACATTTCATAACAGCATCCACCCTGACAACTACTATGGCTTACCAAGCTGGATTAAGTCCACCGGGCAGTGTTTGGCAAGATTTTCCAAACACTAACCTTAATGTAACCAGCAATGACATTGGGACATCCATTTTTGCCAGAACTCAAGACCACGATTTTATGTGTTTCTTGTTTTTCAACACTGCATCCTTCATAGCATCTATGTTCACTCTCATTCTGGCTTCAAGTGGATTTCCTCCTGAGAATAAGTTTTTCACAGTCCTAATGATGGTGTTAATGTTCTTCTCACTCACTTGCATGACTTTCTCTTATCTGTGGACAATGAACATGATTAGTCCACATGACGCTTTGGTTTGTGTCGAAAAGATTATTCATTGGGCTCTAAAGTTTTGGTTTGGCATATGTATTGCTGGTGGTCTGTTTCAAGTACTCCGTGGCTGTCCATGGCTATGGCGGAAGTTGAGAATACGAGGATTATGCTCATGGCTATGTCACAAGTTGGTAATTCTTATACAATTTTTGACAACCATAATGCTAGGATTATGGCACAAGAAGTTGGGAGAACCGTGTAATAATCCAAACAATGGCAACCCGTGACATGACTGGGATAATACTATAGTAGCCTACTCTACTTGTACTTTCTCCATCTCCGTATGAGCTTTAATTATCATTGTGTTTTGTTCTATATCCTTCTGTTATTATTTTATGTATGAAGCTTCTTTCTATTTAGTTATTACTCATGTACTTCTTGTTGTAATTGTTGTAATTTTTAACATTGATTTCAATATTATTAAATTATGTATTGATTTAAAAGTTTATGCCTTTTTCTTTTTAATTTGAAATGTAAAAGTTAATTTAGAGTTGTGAATTTTTATCAAATGATGGTTTAATAGTCAGCATGATGAGATCTATAAAACTAATATAGTTTTGACATTTTACAAAATATAGTCATCACAAAATGAGGCCTAAAGCCATTGCTTAGATGGCTTAGGGGTAAATTTGGCTTTGTAACCAAATGAGATAATGCCTCATTTTCATATATCTAATCGCAAATCTCTCAAAGTTTTGAGTCGTTATTGTCACAATACAACACGGTGCATACTCGACGTGATGATGAGTGAGAAGAGAGCGAAATTTCCTTGCACGTAGCAACATTGCGCGGTCACTCCTATTTCACGAGATCAATTCTGAGTCGAAAATCCGAACTCAGTACCGAGCCCGACTCACTTTGATGCGAGTTTCTCCACCTAGCTTCCACCGAGGGCCACCTTGAGATCGTTCAACTACTTGTGAGGCTTCGTGACTAAGATGGCAGAGCTTCTCTTCACTGGGCAACCATGAAAGGGCGAGTCGAGGTCATGAAACTATTAACTTGGGCCCGGCTTGAGTTGATTCATGAAAAACTCGGCAGATGAAAGACTGTATTGCACTTTGAGTGTTATGACCCGAACCCGCCCCCGTAGGTTTAGGACATAACCGGCCAGTAATCATGAGATTACTTACGGCCTCAAACCAAACCAAACATAAGAGTAAAGGGGCCAAACGGAAGCAGTTTAAAACTTTGTCCATAGAGCTGTGCTTACATGACACATCATAACAACCATACATATGCATATTAATAACTCACAACAAAATATGTACTAACACAAGGTTTTGTACATATAAGATCATATAAGTCTAAGTCAACCCAAGAAAACTATATACAACATATTCAAACACTTCGCCCACATGACAAGATAAAACAGAATGACAAAAGGCGAAGACGGGTCTCGTGCGTGAGACGCAAGGGCTGACTCTTCAAAACCTTTGTTGTTCCTCACAGACTTCACTGGGGCTGGGTTTGAACTTCTCTTGGCTCACCTACAAACACATGAATGAGCGTGAGCGAAAGCCCAGTGAATAATATCAAATAAAGGAGTTATATAAATGGTATGTAGAACAACATGCTTCAAACGGCCTTGGGCCCAATTCATATTTCTCATTTATGTCAAACTGGCCTTTGGCCTATTCATTCATGTCAAAACGGCCTCTGGCCCATTTATTCATGTCAAAATGGCGTCTGGCCCATTCATTCATTATTGTCAAAACGGCCTCTGGCCCATTCACTCTATCATTCAGATCAAACTGGCCTCTGGCCCATTCATTTGGCATAGCAACATTGTCCACCAATCGAATCAACGAACTTATAAAACTTACACAGGAGTAAGTAATTTGGACAACAACATATTTCAGATATCTTTGTTAAGATATTACTCACAGTGATTGGTTGGTTGATTTGCCCTGGAGCTTGACCCTACACATTACATAACACATATGGGTCACAAATGGTTCAATCCGTTCTTTAATTCACGTATTCCTCTTTAGGCTTTATTCTTATCCCTTTTATTCCTTTATAATGCTTAATGCATGCCTAAGAGTACTTAGAAGTGAAAGAGAACGGAAAACGAAACACCGAATGTACTTTCAAAATTTTCAAAAACAGGGTACTCGCTCGAGCGTGGACTTCCCCGCTCGAGCGGACCCATGAGGTCTGCAAAAGTACTGGATGCATCACATTTACGCTCGAGCGTGAATTCTGGAGCTCGAGCGGAAGGCCTCACTACATGGCTCCCCGCTCGAGCGTGAACTTCCCCGCTCGAGCAGACATCCATGTCTGCAAAATATATTGGGAGCACGGATTTCACGCTCGAGCGGCAGTCTCCCCGCTCGAGCGGACATCAAAATTTTGGAATATCCAGAACATCTTCTTGAGCTCAACTTCAACATTCCAACCAACATTTCTTGCATATAATGGCTCAAATTTCATATAAACAAGTACTAACATGGTATAAGCACCAAATGACAACACAATGAAGCTCAATTCCTTGAATTACCTACATGCATGCTCCAAATTGCACCAAACTTGTTTCCATCATAACAATTCTATGTATTTCCAACTTAGATCCTCATGGATGGTACATGCATGTGGAACACAACTTCTATTCTCAACTTGGATAATGAGGAGATGGTCAAAAACATGAGCTTCAACTAAAAACTTACATGGATCGTACATTTTGTGCCCAAACATGCAAATTCAAAGCAATTACACACATGCGTTCATACATTGACCTTCAATTCAACATGATCAATTCAATTTCATTTCAATTCTTACTCTTGGTTACCCAACTAGCTTGAATACACAATTTACAAACTTATACTTTTGAATTCATGTTCACTTGCTTACCTAGAGGTTCAATTCTTCCAATCTATAGCAAATTATTGAGTAATCTTCAAGATTTCCAAGCTTCTTGAGCAAACCCTCAACTCCCTACACTCTCTCCCTCTAATTCGGCTCCCTCACACTCAAGAGCCCAAAATCAACCAAAATGAATAAAAAAGATAGAGATTGAGTGTATATGGCCCTTTATTTAGCCCCACTAAGTCAATTTATCAATATTAAATAATTGGCACTTAATTAATCGTTCTGAATTTAATTATTTTGGTCCAAATCAATTTTCCATTAAACTTCACCGTAGGCTCTAAAAATTATGCCAATCACAATGGCGTGACCAATTTCGGTTTCGGTGGCCGATATGGCCTTCAATTTAATTTCCAAAGCAGACAATCAAACAGATATTCCTACGGTGAACAGGTAGAAATTCAAAACCACATATTTTCACATAATGGCACACAAAATCATATCAAACACATAATCATATTCACGTTGAGGACCAATTAGCATACTACAGAACAAGGATATTACATTGGGGACATTGGTTGAATGAAATACGAAGCAGAAACGATATTGAGTTTGTTGACTCTGAAGACAACGATGGTAACTGTCATGATCCAAACCCGTCCCTATGGGTTAAGGTCATAACTGGCCAATAATCAAAGGATTACCTACGGCCTTCAAACCTGATTAAAGATAATTTCAATAGAATAAGGGGCCTAAACGGAAACAAACTTAAAAATTTTATCCAATGAGTTATGCTTACATGGTAACGCAAAACATTCCATTAACATTCCATAATAACTCACGCATGTAGTCAGAATTAACATCTTATGTGTCCAGGAACTTTCAAACATGCAGTCAACCAAACAAAAAGCTTATATACATGGTGATCCAACATATTGACCAAGGTAACAAAAGGGAAACAAAACAAAATAAACGAAACAAAGTCTCATGCGTAAGACGTTCGGGCTGACTCCGCAAAACTTGACTTCTCTTATGTCTTTCACTGAGGTTGGGTTTGAACATCTCTTTGCTAGGCTACACACATATAAATGAGAGTGAGCGATAGCCCAGTGAATAATATCAAAATAAAGGAGTACATAAATGAAATTTGTAGTAGTCATATCAAACGGCCCCGGCCCTAATTTATTTGTGTCAAACGGTCTTTAGCCCATTCATTCATGTCAAACGGCCTTTGGCCCAATCATTTATGTCAGACAGCCTTTGGCCCAATCATTCATGTCAAACGGCCTTCGGCCCAATCATCTATGTCAAACGGCCTTTGGCCCAATCATTCTCACATTCATATTTACGTGTGTCTCATATTCGTGATCATGATCATATTCATATTTAATTAGTCTTATGCAAAAGACTGACATTTTCATCCATAATTCAAAATATAAATCCATAAGGCTCATACAAAAGTAATGTTTGGAAAATAACGTACTTGAACATATCTTTACTAAGATACTACTCACAGTGATCTAGCGGATGATTTGCCATTGTGCTTGACCCTACATATATCATAAACATAATGGGTCACAAGCGATTTATTCCATTCTTAATTTATATATTCCTCTTAGGTATATTTCTTATCTTTTTAGTCCATTTACAATGCTCAATGTATGCCTAAGAGTGCTTAGAAATGAAAGAGAACGAAAAACAAAACACAAAACCACTTTTCAAAATTTCTGAAACAGGGTTCTCTGCTCGAGCGCAGTTTCGATCGCTCGAGCTAACCCTTTTGGTCTGCAAAAGTGCTGGTTGGCTCATTTTTGCGCTCGGGCGTGACTTTGGATACTCGAGCTGAGAGTCAAAACATGTGACTGGGGCGCTTGAGCGTAACTCCTCTCACTTGAGCGGGCGTCAATGTCTACAAAATTTCTGGGAGCTAACATTTTACGCTCAAGCGGTGATTTTCTTGCTCGAGCGGACTCGACGAATTCTGGAATTTCCAGAACTGTATTTGAAGCTCAAACTTAATGTTCAAACGCCCAAAACTCATGTTTTTGGTATAAAAGCATGGAAAGACATTATATAACATAAGAACATAAGTAATTTGGAATCAATTGTCTAAAATCATGATCCATCTCTCAAATAATTTCAAATTCTTCTTGTCAATTTCAAGACTCAAATAATCAACCTCCCTACTTACATGAATCATGCATGCATGTAAATTATTGACTTTAATTCCATTTCAAATGGTACAAGTGGTATTTAAAATCATGAAGCTTAACAAAATTATGCATGCATGTGAAATTTGGTGCTTAATTCTTCATGTCCAACATGCCCCATGCTTGATTATGCAAATTCATGGCAATTCATTGCAATCTATACATGCATGTACATATGGACCTCAAATTCATCATAAATAACTCAATTCTTGCTCTCAATTGCGCATCTTGCTTGAATTCACTTATTTATGGACTTAAACTCATGAAGTCGAGTTCAATTACTCACCTAGAGGCTCCAATCTTCTCAATTATAGTTAAACCTTGTGTTAATCTACTTGGCTCTCCAATTCCCTTTCAAAATCCTCAATGTTGGCCCCTTTCTCTCTCTAGATTCGGCTCACTCTCTCTCTAGAGTGCCTATTTCAGATTTTTGA